TGCAATGCAATTTTACACATCAACTCCCTGTGGCCTAATGAAGACCCCTTTTTGATTTTGAGGTCAAAAGGTCAAAGTTCAAGGTCGTAAATTTACACTGGAGGTATGTATCTAGATCAAGCTAAAATCTCACAATCTTTGAAGACTAACTCTTCTTATAGACTTTATAAATAAGATTCACGAAACTTAAGTTCTGAAGAGATTTGTGTAAATTCCTTCATGTTTATTTTAACCGTGGTTGGGTTATTTAAAATTTTTTGTCATCAGTATTAATCAATGCATCAAAATGTTTCAATGAATTTTGTCACTTCATAGAAAATGTAAATTTTACCAATAAGTTCAGAAAAAAAAATTGACCAAAATTAAGTTTAAGCCAAATTAGATCTTCCATACTTGTTTTTTTTCAAACACTTATCCTTCAGAAAAAAAGGAAAAAATAATTGCATATGCATGTATAGGTGTGTTTATTTGTTATAAAGACTGCTTCTCTTTATCATCTACAAGGTGTGCAGTATGGTGGTGGTTTCGTCAACCCGGCCGCCTATCCCCCAGGGACCTAGCCTGCCTACCCACAATACACCTATCCTCAACAACAACCAGACCCTTCTACTGGGTCCCAACCCCCTCCGCCTTACAAATAAATTCCCTAGTGGAAGATTTCTTGTGACTATCAAAACTTGCTTGCATTTATGTATTTTCAAAAAAGTTGACATACCTTTGTTCAAGATACCTTTTTTGAAATAATAATATATATGTATGCAAATAATTATTTTAACTTTATGCAATTAACAGTCACTTATTTTGTTACTTTCTTTTAAAGACTTCTTTGAGAAGGACCAAGAAATGCAAAAGAAATTGTCATTTTAGTTGTTTTGCTTCGTAAATAATTTTTTTTAAAAACTTAAATTGCACATTTTTAAAAAAAAGTACTTGTATCACTTTCAAATAATTATAGAAAGAAATTATAAACTTCGAAAAAAAAGATGTTGAAATATTTAAGCATGAAATGCATTATAGTTTATATATTTAATGCTTGTCATAGTGTATGTCTTAGTTTTTAACCTTCGGTTTTTTTTATCGTATTCTTATAAAAAATTCAAAAACTATTTTCTATGTTCATTTCCTAAATTATCTTTAAAGAATAAATACAAAAAATTTTATGATAGCTATATTTGACACAATTCAAGTAACGAATTCTGTTTTTGAGCAATGAATTTATAATGCGTCAAATGATAAAAAAGCATTTAAGGTTTCTATAAAATAATTTGTAATATGTTATTCCTGAGCATATTCAAATGTTAAGGGGTGTATTTTTAAAACCAATATATAAAGGTATATAAAGATATTAAACCAAAAACGATCGATCAAAGTTAAATTAAAAAAAGGATGGAATATCTAGATTTTCAAACTATTCAAATTTATTTTGTATCCAATTAAAAGCATCAGATTTCAAAAGTCCAATAAACACTAGAATTGAAGGCAGGGTTAACACAGACCTATAAAACATCAAAAGTGAGATCAGGTGCCATTTAGGAGTTGGCATTCCTTGTCAACCGGGGACATCCGCTGTGTGCTATTTCTCCTTATAAGGAAAACACGGGAAAATCCATCGCAAATTCTCTATATAACTTCATTTTATCATATGAATCATCAAATAAAGTTAAAACGTACGATTATTGAGTAATGGGTATAAATAGAATAATGGTGTTTAAAATCTAAAAGCAAATGTTTTCACGGAGGGCTGTAGGTTTGAATTTCAAATTTTTTTTCTGAAGTTCTAACACCGTCTGGTTTCATTATTTACGAAGAAGACGACTCGAAAAAAGGCAGACGCCATTTTTGATATTTTATACGAAATCAGTACCGGGTAATACCTTTCGCATTCGTTTCACCTGACTGCTTTATTATTACGGTTATTGACGGGAAATGGAGATACCTATTCGTGCTTGTTATCTTACATTACCTCTGTTTACATTTTATTGCAGTTACGTGTATTTGTGTTTATTTGTGCACTGCATTTGACAGCCCAACTGTTGTACATTTCTGTTTGTATCTTACTCTTCTACATTAGAAGAAATACACGTTTATTTTTTTCGCTACTGAATGCTGTATAGGATATGTCCGTCTACATCGGTGACAACTAGTTTCACTGAACAGTGACTAAGTAGGCAGCTTTATATAGGTCCACTCAAATAAAACCACTGAGCAATGAAAAAGGGAACAAATTCCTTTTACGAATAGTTTTTAGCTTTTAAATTGTCTACTTAATAGAGTTCCAGTAAGAATAAAACAATTCATCTTTTTAACATTTGAAACAATAAAGACAATGGAACACAACATATGCCTATTACAGTGTTAATATCTTTGATGCTTCATTATGACACAATTTCAGACATTTACATCCCGTTTGGAAGTGCCTATGATACCAGCTTAAATGCAAAAATGTTATAATTTTTATTTTTGGATACTGCACTATACATGTTAAAAGAAAAAAGAATTGTTATACCTTTGAAAGTTTGTTCCTAAATAAATCAATACGTTTTACTGAGCGGGCGTAAAAATCGATGTTTGACCTGTCGATGATCATGAGATGTTGGAACGCTTACATTACACGTAGCGGAGCCTAATCTCTTTGTATTCTTTAGTGTTCAGTAACGGACCCGAGGATACAAGACGGGAGCAAGTACAAGATATGTTCATCCAGAGCAAACACGGACCTCAAAAACCATCAGAGGTGGAATCAGATACCATGGAGGAGTGAGTATCTCCTGTCTGCCAGTCACGTCCGCCGTGTGCTCATTGTCATGATCGGTAAATAAGGGAAAAATCCGTCGTGAATTCAGTGTATAGATAATTGACTTATTATTAGTATGAAAACGTCACTCAGCATTTGACTCAATGATTAATTATATTTGCTTACATGTACAAGGTCTTTGTATTGAACATAGAACATAAGAAATGGTAATTTTAAACAAGACTACTGATACTCTTTATATCATCTTCTTTGTCAATAATTTAACTTGTTTTTAGAAATTGTTCATACGTAGACCATGCTCTTGCGTATCGAATCAACTGAGACATATAAACAACGTATGTAGATAATAAAAATATATATTGCTGCATAAGTAAGGGAAGTTGACGATTGAAAAGTTTGCTATCCCGTTTATCATACAGCTTTGTTGTTAGATTATCATTACCATCTTTTTGCAAATAAAATATCCAAATATAAAACAGTTGTGTCAGACTCTGTAGTATCTTTTATCTCAGCTCACCAGGATATATCATATCGACATAGAAATTGAAATTACCGTTTTAATTGACAAAACGTCGTCGATATACATGTATTTAAACGTCGATTGAAGGCCACAGCAAGTTATGCATGTATTTTATTTTTTAAATAATGAGCAAGTTCAATGTAAGTTTTTATTTTTTTTCTGATTTTTCAAATTGTAGAAGGTACGCAATGGAATGTCAAATAAAATGACACCTGAACGTTTAAATATTACAGAATATCAGTTTGAAAGATGAAACACTCATCACCTTATAATGTTGTAATTTCTGATGCAGTATTTCTTATAGCATAATACTGATATTTTTATGGATATTACGAGTCGTTTAAGTTTTGACCCTAAAATAGTTTGGAAAAAACTAACGTCCAACTTCTCAAGGAAACTTACGTACACAAAGATACATGAGTTTTCCAGCAGTGAAGTTTCTATAAAGCAATATGTTTTAAGTACATACATTTATATGTACATTGCATATATTTTGCACCTAACAACAAGTATTTACGGAATGATAATGTAAACCTATAGGGTTTAGCAGAGACATATTGTGTGAACATTTTAAACTTAGACAATTTAAATATCATAATCATTTTTAGTTTTTAGCAGTGAAAATAAAATGATATAAAGGTTTATTAAATCAGAATGGATTTTATTAGTGACGCAGATTCGGTGACTTTATAATTGGAAAAAGGACTTTAATTTTGTAAACAATTATTATCTTGTCAAAAAAAATTGTATTTTGTTCTTGTTCAAATGCACCATAATTTTGTAGATCATTTTGTAATGAAATTGATCCGAATAGACCAATCAAGCCCATCGATAGTAAGTAATAAAATTTGAACGTAAATACAATGGTAATATTTAGAGTTTGGACTAAGAGCAATAAAATTGGGAACTTTGAAGTAAATAAGTAAAAGAGCTTAAGGCTAGAACTCCTGTGGTGCAGAGATGGGGACTGAACCCATAAATATAAGTAACATGTATTTACCTACATTTGATGGTGGTGCCATGTTGGGGTACATAGGTCAACGGACAGACCTACGGACAAAGCGTAGGTAGTTAGTGATGGTAAATTATCCAATGAAATTCATCTTTATATCCGGAACCATGGATACCCACTGAGCACAAAATACCCTGTTTTAGTCAGAAAAGAGTATTCCCGTTTTTATTCCCGATCTTAATTCCCGCTCTTATTCTTATTCACGGTCTTATTATCAAATAATCAACTCTCTCTTATTATATTTTTGGGAATCATTCTTTCGGACTTTTGTTTATTTATTTATTGAGAGTTCAGTCTTCAGCTCTTCATATTTTGGACGGACCCTTTGGACATCTATATGAAAATTGTATTGGTCTTTTCTGATTATATTTCAGGAACGAATATTTCTAAAACTATACGATCACGGAAAAATTGTAAATTGGATTTATTTAATAAACTTCTGAAATCGACAAAAGAGTCGTCATTGGCTTACAATAACGCTAACCTTTAAAATTTAAAGTTCTCCTTTTAAGTATATCAGAAAAAGTGTCAAGGTAAATTTTTTAAACACAATAGTTTAAATTTTCCCTTATATTCATTAAAAGTTATAAATAAAGTACGTTTTAAGGTATAATTTTAAGTAAGCGTGTATGGAAACTACGTCACAACTTTAAATCTAATCAATTTCTCTTTATTGAATGATTGGGAACTGCTTAATCAAAACATTACCGGTCACGTGATATTTGCAGGTCTTATCTGAACCAAAGATGGCGTGTTGGTGTTCAACTTTACTCAGTCTGTTTGTTAGCATTCTACTCTTAGGTAAGCTATTGTCTTCTTAAAAATGTTCATTCTATTATCATTGATTCTAATCAAACTTTCCAGGTGTAAGATTTAAATTATCAATGACGCCGTCTTCCACCCTAAGTTATTCTTGAATTCCATAAATCAGGATACAAATGAAAACAGGTATTCCCATAAATATTTTAAGCAAGCTGCTTTTGTTTTCAAAGTCTAAAATTAATGAGAAACTAGGTGCTTAATGACTTTTGAAAGAATGGAAATTGTATAGCTATGAATAAAAATACAACATACAAAACCGAAAAGACAACGATTTTTTATCAGGATATTCGCTGTTATCGTCGAATGATTTTTAACCTGAGGAATGTCAGGTGATTAACTATCCGTATGAGCTTTAAATATTTCCTGTCCTATAAATGAATACTTTATCTAAATACTCCTGCGCCAAGGAACTAATGAATTTTAAAGTATCTGTTGTGTGTGAAACTGACTGATTGATATTTTTTAAAACTTTATCGATGACGTCAGCGCTACATTTCACTTTCCACCTTTTTTTGCGTCTTTTATTTTAAGGGTTTAAATAACACCATTCAGTATGTACATACAACCTATAGTGTATATATACATGTCATCTGTATATTAAGTACCTCTGGGTACTAAGGCATGATACCTGTGTATTTGGTGTGATTGAACTTTCAGGAATGATCAGTTTCTGATGCATTTAAATATCGTTTTACCTTTACAAAATAGCGATTAACGTTTAAAATTTGAAGTTGAAGATGGTTTCAAATGAGTATTATTTTAGTGCGATTTGAAATCATAAAGTCAATATTAAGATTTTGATAACAGTATTACAAGTTTTTTTTTTATTTATTGTAACTAAGCTCCTGTTATCTTATTATACGCAGTATTCGTTGTTTAAACACGATGCATAATCAAGAAACGCATGTGTCGCTTGTTTTGTAGCTTTCCGTAATATATATCAAAGAAAGTGGTTACAGTGTAACTATTTCTTTGGAAAGAAAAAAACACGGGTATTAATATATTCAAATAAATTTAAAAGTGGATAGCTTTTTCTTTAACGTTCTATGGAAAGAAAAAGACCCATGGTTATTAAAATATTAAAAAGAATTTGACAATTGAAGAGGTCTCACCATCAAATGCTGATTCCAAAACCTTAAATAGATAAATACGTTGAAATTATTTTTAAAAAATCATTTTTAAAATTGAAATTTGTTTTTCAAACAACATTCAAATAATAAAAATATATGCTTGTATTTAATTAAACTGCCAGTCAACACGAGACATTGCAGAATGCCGATCCTGAAGTATTGATTGTGTATTTAAACAAGCTTACTTTTTACTGCCTATCGTAAAGTATTTGAAAATACAGTATCATGAAATCATTAACATGTTAGAGTTACAACTATGAAAAGTTTACGTCTCAAAAAAAAAACAACATTAAAATCAAATTGGCTAGGGTATCTTTTGCAAAGTAAGTCTGAGTTCAAGGTCATGTTAATTGTAACGCTTTTCTTTCATATTTAAAACAGAATGTAGCATGCGTTACAGCATATATTAAACTGTATAATTCGAAAAATAATTTCCCGGGAGGTAGTCAGTTCGAACGCCGGCGACAACTGGCCCAAGTCGATAAAATATGGGTAGCAAACTGTTACTTCAACATGGGCCCGGGCACTTGAAGTGAAAGTTGAGTTGTGAATATTTCGGAAGAGACCTTAAAATAACGAGGTTCCGTGTCACGACATGCTTTGGCACTATAAAGGTACTTTACTGCTCAAATACCCTGAGTGCCGAGTATATCAGTGAAAGTCTGAAAGCCCCGGTTTATGGTGAAGTTTCTTCATGAGTGAGAGATTCTTAAATATTGGGCGTTAAACAATAAACAATTAATCAATATTATTGGTAACCAGAATAAAGAACAAAAGTTTTAATGCAAAGCATTATAAATGTTTGTAAAGATATCCAGCCATACTATAACTATTTACAGTTTCCAAGATCTTAGGTGAAAAAGTAAGGATAGATAGGCAGGTAGACAGACATACAGACAGAAAAAGGGTGTAAAGAGAGAGAGAGAAAGAGAGAGAGAATGAAATTACATTTACCTGACTATAAAAATATTATATGGTTGCCAAAGAATTTTGCGATTTGACGAAGAATAAGAGCGCTGATTCTACATAAATTTGATAAGCTGAAATACGTTAACAAAATAATTTTAAAGAAGTTTAAATATATAACTTCGTTTGCAATGACTTATGTAAAAAAAAAACGTAGTGTATCAATCCGCTTGTTACGTTTAAAATATGAAAATTTTGAAGACGTTTTAAAAAGAAATTTTTTTTGTCTTCTATACTTAATGATTTAAAATTAAATTATAAGGAATAGATTAAATGGCAACCTTTCTTTTTCAAATGTATTGAAAGCTTAATGTTGTTTCGTAAATGTTTGCTCATTAACTTTTGTATTTTTGTTTTAGATGTGGTGAATGCCAGTTATTGCTATAGTTATTACGACTCCTACTCGTCCTACTCCTACTACTACTGCTATTATTATTATGTGTAAGCATGCCTGATTCATATAATCTGTCATTAAACACAATGATATTTGACAACAACACTGTCTTCCATATCCATCTTTACTTCAGTTCACAGGATTCTTTACTAAAATTTATAACATAAATATTTTGAGATATTGAAAAGTATTCAAGTACATCCAATCAATAAGAAACAAAATTAGAGCAGAGCAAAAACAAACCTCTAAAACATTTTAGATGGGATCAGATGACTTTGAGAACTGAGCATTCCCTGCCGATCTGCCACACCCAGATTATGCAACATGTCATGATCAGGAAAAACGTATCCTGTACTTGTTATGCTTTTTTGTTAATTTTTATTTTAAAATTTTAAATCCTATTTTCTCCTTTTATATAATGTAACTAGCAGTGAGGGGGTACCAATGCTGTAATTGCTAATTATATGTTAGGTATAAGAAAACTGTTTTCTTTCTAAATTCCGAATTTATTTATGCTTTTGCACATATACGGACTGTAAATTGCAATTCTACTTTTATTGCAGAACTCTAATAATATAATTATGCATATTTACATTGTTCATCTAATTTTTGAGGTCGATTACTGTTCGTTATATATTCCTTGAATATTTTCTTTGTCGAAAATTTATATTGCATTTGCAGGGAATACATAATTCAAAATGAAACTGAAATTCTATATAACATTATGTACAGTTTCAAGATCATCACTGTAAAAGCGTCACAAACAAACGTTTTTAGGTTCATTTTACACCTGTCATTTCTGGTAATATTAAAAAAATGTATAACTATGCATCCAGTGGATTCATAAACTATCAAATATCCAAGAAAGAGGGCGTATAAGGTGTGGATAATCCCCCGCTCTGAGATAAAATATTTCTCAATTTTCAAAATTCACGGAAAAATGATATTTTTTCTAAAATCATGTTCTCAGTAATTTTATCTTCAAAACATTTTATTATTTTATTTTACTGAACTACTTATCATTTGACAATGTTTTTTTCATAGTTGACAGTTAAGCATATTTAGTGGAAAATGGGTTAACTACATGTAGAACCATTAAAGATGAATTTTGAACAGCCTGAATGGGTCAAGTCTCCTTTCTTCAGTAACGCTTAAATGATGGAAATCTATTTCATTTGTCCAAAAAAAAAAAAATGGAATCTGGACCCATTCTATATAAAAATCGAACATTTCTGAAAATATGTACGCTTCAACAAACCCGTTCATTTAAATCACACTGACAGATATCGATAATGCATGTAACGTAGTGGTTAATGCGGTCGGTCTTGCGCCAACCCTGCACTATGGAGAGAGTTCGAATCATACGTGAAGCTTTTTTTCATTTTTGTTTTCACGTTTCTTAAAACATGAGTGAAAAAATAAATTATTAATACAATATATATTGAAACAATGAAATACAGTACTGTATTAAATTTGTTAAAGATTTTATTAACCATAATTTTGAAAAATATAGCTTTCATGAACTTTTAGATTTGAAAAATGTTTTTTCCTTTTCTCCGAGCGGGGGGTTGTCCTTGCCTTGTACGCATCCATTCTTTACATTCAGAAAACACACTTCTTTTTAAAGTTATAATTAAAATTTCTGCATGATAAGTCTTCTCTTAACTGACATAGGATGAAAAATATTTTAAATATCATGTTCCAATGAGATAATAATTCTAGCATGTTCTAACATTTCTCATTAGACCTGTTGGTTCGATCGTGGGAGCCGTGATTGGAACTCTAATTGGCATAGCAGTACTCATATTTTTAGTGGTATTCTTCTGCTGCATCAGACCACGCCGTCTGGCGGCTAGGGGCACAGTACTCCAGCCAGCTGGATCCAATGTAGCAGTTGTTTCTACAACAACTGGAGGTATGTGTATGTTCTAATTAAACAAAGCTAAAAAAATTAAAATCTTTACTCAAGAGTTCAAATTTTCCAGGAACATTCACTTTTTCTCAAAATCCATACGCTCTTTCAAATCAAAATCTACAAATATCCCCCCTTTCTCTCCCCCCCCCCCAAAGAATCGAAAAAGAAAGAAAAGAAAAATAACAACATAAAAACAACTAGTAAACTAATTGTTCAGAGAACAATAAGACGTCTTTCCACCTTTTTAAGTCTTTCCATGTCATTTGGGTTGAAAAAATGAAGAAAAAAAACACACCAGAAAAACGCCAAAAAATCAAAAATTCAACCAAAAAAAAAAAAAAAAGAAAAAAATGCTTATCGGAGGATTCGATCCAGGGACCTTCAGATTAGCAGTCGAACGCTCTAACCACTAGACCACGGGTTCCGTTGAAAATCACTGGTATTATTGTCGAGTTAAGTTACCGGGGTCCGGGGTTCCAGTAAATAAACTTCTGACAAGCTCCTGGGTGTATATGTGAGTTTGAATGAGATTGTTTTCGAGTTAAAATGTAAGGGATATTGTCTGATAACAAGTATGATATTGCTATTAACGGGAAAACATGCATTTGAGGTTGCGTAGCAATTTATTTATTTGAAAAAGGCCACGTGCGTTTTGACAGATTTGTTGAACTCATAAGTCAGATTAAATAATCATTTCTATTTGAATTTAATTAATAGTTACCAGCATAAATTAAACTTGAAACATGCATCTCAGGAAGAAAACGGTGTCATTGAGAACGTGGAAATTTATTTGACAGGAAAAATCGCTATTTTCGAGGTTCATTCAAATTAATATTAAATCTAAATAAAATTGAAATAAATTCCACATACTAAAGAAAGCAAGAATATTTGGTATTAAAATGTCGTATTAGAGCTGGAGAATCGGATGACATTAAGAACAATCGAAGAAATAGCCAATACAAGCTTAAATTAATTTTTATACTCAGCAACAATTAAAATTTCAGACAGAAAAAAAATGTAGATTTTGCCGATATTCACTAGAATTTAATCGTACTTAGACTCACCGTAAAACTCTCAGGGCACTTTCTTTGAGGTGTCTTCTACATGCTAAACTGGATTTTAATTTGATCTGTGATGTCCTTTGGGTTGTACAAAAATTTTCTATGTCGCTATTGATTTTTTTTTTGTTTCAGAGAGATGGGGGGGGGGGTTATATTATATAAGCGTTTGTAAACGTGAGAGTTACAAATACCTCCACATACTGAAGCTTGAATGTGACGTTTGGGTCAAAGGTCAAGGTCATTTATCAAGGTCAAGGTTATCCAAAAAAAAAAAACCCACACACACAACACTGATAGACATGAGATTAACACTTGAAGCTAAATCTAGGTAAAGGTAATGAATATTTCTTTATTACTTTTGAGCGAGGGTCAAGTTCAAAGGTCAAATGTCAAGGTCAAAGGTCAAGGTCATTTTAACAAAAACCCATATATAAGAATTTTAATACTTTTCCAATGACCTTGACGTTTGACATTGACCTTATCTTCAAGGTCAAAGGTAGAAAGATCTCATGCATTGTCCCCATGTCTTTACAACTTGTCGTTAAAAAGTTTTTAGTTCTTCGCAAACATCAGAAACTGTAAGGAGCAATAACTACTAAAAATGGTTGACGAATCCTTTTGCAATGAATAGATTCAAGAGTCTACTAAATAAGTCGTAGACATTGTTGAAGGTTTCGAACGTCTGCGGTTTACGGTTTCGGAGGAGTAGCGATAACAAGGGTTTACACTAAAAGGGGCATTAACATTTAGAGGGGTCAATCTTAGGGGACAAGCATGAAATCTCTGAAATGGTTTTAAGAGTACATATTAAAGATGCAAACATGTTTAAAAATTGTTGAAGAACAAAGGAGCTACAAAAAAAACTTAATTTTTTCATATTTTGAATGACCTTGACCTTTGACCTTGACCTACTTTTCAAGGTCAAAGGTCATAAGATCTCATGCAGTTGGTCCCAGATCTTTACCACTTGTCGTTTAAAAGTTTTTAAAAAAAATTTTAAGCTTTGAAACTTTCAGGGGCAATAACTACTCGAAGGAGTTTAGGAATTCTTTCGCACTTCCCAGTTTGGAGAACCGACTAAATTAGTCGAAGACATTGGTGAAGCAAGCGTACCTCTATGGTTAACGGTTTCGGAGGAGTAGCGATAACGAGCATTTCTTGCGAAAGGGGCAATAACTTCGAAAGGGGTCATAGTTCATATGCGTTGGGTCAAATCTGTTCCTAACTTTTTATGACCTTTACGATGAACAAAAAGTCCCTTCGATAAATGTCGAAACAAAAAATCAGCGGAAGAAAAATAATAGGAATTTACAGAAGAAAAGCAATGTCTTTCCACAGAAAGGTGGAAAGACTTAATTAAATCTCAAGCTGAGAGTAAGCAAGAAATACTATTTTTTCCCAGATTTTAGAAATGTTTCAATGGTATGATTAAGTATAGAATTCATGAATCTACTCCTTGTTTTAATAGAACTCAATGACCCTTTTCTTTTATCCCTCAAGGTGTGCAGTATGGAGGCGGTTACGTTAACACAGCTGCTTATCCTCCGGGGACTCAGCCCGCCTACCCACAATACGCATATCCTCCGCAACAGCAAGCTCCCCCTACCGGGTACCAACCCCCTCCGGCTTACAATTGAATTGGACTAGCTCATTGAAATGGTTAAAAAGGTCCTACAAACATTACAAACTTTTGCGTTTTCAATGTTACTTTTAAATCGTCATAATAATATACAAATTGTAAATCCTTTTTTCTAAAGTACCTAATTTTGCTAAAGATATCATATCGCAGAAATATACATTGGCGATAAAACTGTTTGACATGTATTTTTCAAATACAGTAATACGTTGACATCTTTCTAACACGATTGTTGCTTCTTGTGAGATTACATAAATTTTATATCATTTCCTCAGGCCAATTAGGATACTACATAAGCTTTATTCCAATGTCTAAGAGCAAATATTTTTTCATGTAAAAAGATCGTTCTTTGTAATTTAGAAAATTTTATTAATTTTCTTTTCAAATAGATTTGTATTCATTTCTTAATTTTTTCCCCTTAAATCGACAATGTAAACTTAAGAAATTATTGGACACAAAAAATATTCAAATGTTCGTCCCCATAAGCAAAAATTCTAGAACTTTTTAAATTTGAATCAACAGCTTTAATTTAAAAATGTAAAAACAATACACATAGCATGAACATGTAAGAAAGAATATCAATTTCTTAAAATTACTGTCTTCTTAATCTTAATATCAAGACTTTTTGTTTAAAAATCGAAACATTGGTTGTACTTTCCTTCATTAAGAGTTCTGAAGGTCTGGGAAATTGTATGAATTTATGTTAATTGAATATGTGCTTTTAATGTTGTACCTTAATTGTGCTGTTCGTTATTGATCATATTATTTTAATTAGATTTTTTGTTGTTGTATGTTTAATGTAATGATTGCCAATCAGATTGTTGCAACATTGATTTTTAAAGTATTATTTTGGATTGTGTTTCACAATGATATATGTTCATTATTATCTTGTTTGCATTTTGTAAAAAAATTGCCTAAATAAAAATGTTTATATACTTTTTTGCATTACAATTCTTTTAGACAACAAATTCAATTCATATTCATTTTTTTCCCATGTGAATGTGAATATGAATTGACTTTCTGGTTTGTTGTATTAAATTTTGTCAGTTGGATACATGTCATAATTTATGCATGACAAGCTTCACCCCAAGCATATTTACATGTAACAAACAAGACAGTTATATCTGAAGGAGTTCATTACGAATTTTTTTTTTAAACACTAAGCAGAAATTCTTAGACTTAAAACATTTTCAAATGTCATTCACAACTAGGATTTACAAAGACTACTTTGACAACATGTATATTTAAATATAAATGTTATAATACTATAATATTATAAAATCTAATATATTTAATACGATAAATGTTTCCTCATATTTGTTTATGCTAAAAAAAACATTAAAGATAATATAAAAAATAAAGCATACACGCGTATTTAAATTTCTGACGATACAATTGATATTGATCAGCATAAACTGGGTGTTCATCTTCTTTACTAGTTACTAAACCATCTAAACAGAACTTTCTTAGTCCTGATCAAGGCATTTATTTACGTGTCTCTCTAGGCGTCGAAGACTACGTGAGGTCCATTTGCACTTGGGACACTCAAACTCTCTTGATTTGTCTTTATCCATTTTCTCCCTTTGAGAGTCACTGGGATTCTGGAATCAAAAAAGAGGTACATGTACGTGGTACGTGGGAGCCGTGATTGGAACGTTGATTGGCATAGCAGTACTCATATTTTTACTGGTATTCTTCTGCTGCATCAGATCACGCCGTCTGGCGGCCAGGGGTACAGTACTCCAGCCAGCTGGTTCAAATGTAGCTGTTGTCTCTACAACAACTGGAGGTACGTGTATGTTGTAATTAAGCAAATGTAAAAAACATTGAAATTTTCTCTTTTTTCAAAATTCATTTCATTCAAATCAAAATATACAAAAATAACCCCCCTCAAATTAAAACCAAAAAAATACCAACAAACAAAACAAATTAAAACTCAAATTGAAAGCTAGCAAGAAACTATATGTTCTCCAAGAATTTGGATATGTTTAAATGGTATGCAGGTTTTTGTATAGAATTCACGAATCTTCTGCTTGTTATAATGGAACTCAATTACACTTCTCTTTTATCCCTCAAGGTGTGCAGGATGGAGGCGGTTACGTTAACACAGCTGCTTATCCTCCGGGGACTCAGCCCGCCTACCCCCAATACGCATATCCTCCGCAACAGCAATCTCCCCCAACTGGTTACCACCCCCTTCGGCTTACAAGTAAAATGGACTGGTTCTTTACATTTTCACAAAGATCCTAGGAAATGGAACTTTTGCGTTTTCAATGTAACTTCATATCGTCATAATAATGTACAAATAATGAGAACGTTATGGTACAAGATATACATGTTTTTTCAACAATACAATTATACATTGAATTCTTTCTTCACACGATTGTTGCTTCTTGCAAGAATAAATTTAAAATCATTTCCTCGGGCAAATTAGGAAACTGCAGTAAGCTCTATTCCAATGTATAAGAGATGTTTTTTCGTGTAAATGATTGTAATTTGTAATTTAGAAAATTTAAGTAAAAGTTAAAAGAAAAGATTCGTATTCGTTTATTAATCATTGGACACAAAGTTTCAAAATGTTTGTTACTATAAACATAACATTCTTTTAAAATTGCAAAACTAATACACATTGCAAACGTAAGAAAAAAAAATTATTTACTTTAATTACTGTCCTCTTAATCTTAATATAAAACTTCAAAATACGAAATCAAACCTTAGTAGTAATTTCCTAAAGTAAGAGTTCTGAAGGTCTGGCAAAATCATATGAGTTTATATTAATGGACAATGTGCTTTTAATGGTACCTTAAATGTGACATTTGTTATATATTGATTAGCTTATCTTAAATAGATTTTTACTGTATTTTTGATGTAATGATTGCCAATCAGATTGTTTCAACATTGATTTTTTAAAGTATTATTTTGGATTGTGTTTCACCATGATACCGGCATATGTTCATTATAATCTTGTCTCATTTTGTAAAAATTGCCTGAATAAAAAATATTCACAAACTTTAAATGCCTTTTGCATTACAATTTTATTGGCCAGCAAATTTAATTCATATTCATTTTTTCTTATATAAATGTAAATTTAAAGAATCACTTTCTGCTTTGTTGCATTTTGTCAGTTGAAAACATGGAATAATTTATACATTACAAGCTACGCCCCAAGCATATTTACATGTAATAAAATAAACTGATTTCTGAGGAAGCTCATTACGAAATATTTTTTTAAACAAAACTCAAATGTCATTCGCATTTTTCAAAGACTACTTAGATAAACTTTCACAACATTTAAATATTCAAATATAAAATGTAATGTCTCTTCGTATTTGTTTTGTTAGGTTACAATTATGTTCAAAACAAACCTTAAGATATAATATAAAAAATAGAGCATACACGTGTATTTAAACTTCTGAAGATACAATTAATATTGATCAATATAAGTTGTGTGTTCATCTTCTTTATTAGGTACTAGACCTCGAAACAGAGATTCTTAGTCAAGATCAAGGCATTTATTTACGTGTTTCTCAAGGCGTCGAAGGCTACATGAGGTCCATTTGCACTTAGGACACTCAAACTCACTAGGTCTGTCTCTATCCATTTGCTGGCTCTCCCTTTGAGAGTCACTGGGGTTCTGAAAAAAGAACTTACATGATGTATTCAAATCATTTATCAGTGCATATAGATAGAAGATATCTATATTGTTTGATTTTATATTGGCTTTATCCAACAAGTTAAAATGGTATGCATATTCGCGAGGTTTGCCGAGCGAATATACACTAATCTATATAGCTAACGAGTTGGATAAAGCCAATATCAAATCATACAATTAAAGATGTTCTATTTATCTCATATGACTTTCGTTTCAACAAAACTTTGAGACTTCCCCTGTGAAACTACATGAATGATTTTCTAATTTGATTTCTCTCTGTATATGATGACGTATAACCTGGTGACATAGCACTTGTACTTTTTATATTTACGTTCCTCGAAAGAAAGTAGATCGTGTTCAAAATTTAGAATTTTGCTATCTGCGACTTTGACTGAAAATTGTAAGGACCAAGGGATCGAGAAAAATAATTCCTTGTATAGTGACAGTACAAAACGTGCTAGGCAAGGCTACTTGATCATGGAAAGTTACATCTACTGGTGGGCATACGTAGCATATTACAAGAAAGCATTGTTGTAGATGTTAAAGGAATCTTATAACAACAAATTAATTGCTATGATTTACGTTCTCCGAAAACGATTTAAAGGAAGGATAAGGGGGGGGGGTAACATCCGTCTTCAAGTAGCTAATACTGGTACCTTAATAAAATAAGACACTTCTTTGACATCTTTTTCTTGCTTTTAACGACATTATTGTTCTTTAATTTTTACGAATTTTTACGAATAAATGTTTAAATAGAAAATTTTTATGCAAGGGATCGTGTGAAAACCGGAAATGCTATTGATAAAGCATCTACCCGTGGACAAAGCATAGATTTTACCCATCATATCATCCACACCTAAGAGATAAATATTTTTATCACATTAGGTAATGTAATGGGATCCTTTACCATTCCTTCAAACTAAATCCACCACTAACAACGCTGAAAAGAACAAAAATGTCATTAAGCGTGTAAAGTACTCTATTTGAGCTGTGGTAGTAACAAAATATAATTAACAACATATTTCTTCTGTGGAAGCTTTCGACATTTAATTAGCATTAAAAAGGTTGATAATTATGACGGCGGGTTTGACCGGTCGACAGAGGATACTTACACTCCCATGGCATCTGATCCAACTTCAATCCAATTCACCGAAAAAATATTTTAAACTCATTCAGACACGGTTTACTTTGCAAGTTGTACAGTTTAGTTGTAACTGGCAGGCTTTGGTCTATTATTAATGAATGCTGTAAACCAAACCCAGTCTCGATGGTTCTCTGTTCAACAAGGTGTTTAAAAGGGTAGTGCATTGTCTGCATTTTTATACTTACATGTAGTATTTATTAATGAATTGAATAATACTTTAAAACAATCTTCAGCATGTACAAAATTACTCAATGTTGCTATCAATATTATTCTTCACTGGCAGATGACATCTCATGTATAGCTAACTCTCTACAAATCATGTTAAATATTGCATTTGAACATTTCAAAAAATGGCACTTTGAATTTAACGCATCCAAATCCTGTATTCTTCGATTCCGAGCTAAAGGCAATAAAGCTAACCAGCAACACTTTTGGACATTAGGGGATGTTCCTATTCCCTGTCTTGATTCCTGCAATCATTTAGGAATTATTCTTAACCGAAACTGCTTCTTAAAGGACCGAATAAATGCTGCCTGCAAGAAAGGAAGAAACTCCTTTCATGCTCTCATAGACATTGGATCTCCCTACCTTAATCCACTAACCTTAGTCCATCTTTACAAATCGGTCATCCTGCATTCTGTATTGTACGGACGCGAACTGTGGAATAACTTGTCATTAACAGGTTCTCAACGCTTTCATGTTTTTCAACATTCTATATGTAAATTCTCACAAAACCTTCCTCCCCAAACTAGATCCGATGTCTGTGAAAGCCTCTTCAACGTCTTTCCAATAAGTGCTGAGATAGAAGTAAGGAAATTCTTGTTCTTTGGACGCCTTTGTTATATGAACTACAATATTTTTCCAAAGAAAATATTTTAATTCTATTATCCTTCTTTGCTAACCCTAGCAACTGCTAACAAGGATTTGTTCCAGATGCCGTTAACTAACTGTATGCATATGATCTTCTTGTACGAGTGGGTTGCTGACAGCGTCTTCCCTTCTAAGTTTACTCGGAAAAACATTGTTAGATCTACAATCAGCAGAAAACAGGAAGATCTTAGACAATGTCGTGTGGCGAACAACATAGATTTCTCTAGGTTTCATGCAGTCTTCAGTTATAACGATCCATCTTCCTTCCA